TGCATAGCAGGCTTCATATTTTTAATTGTGGGATAGTTAATCTCATTTAAATCTAATTTCTTAATACTGGGAAAATCCACGTGGTGCACTGTTGACCCAAACACTTTCTCAGCACCCCTTCCCAGAGGGCAGAAGATGGGGGGAAGCGGTGAGGGGCCAGAGGCTCGGTGAAGCTGATGGAAGCTGGGGTCTCTGCCCCAGGCGTGGGGTGAGTGCCCTGGGCAGCAGCAGTGCCTTTGGCTGGGCTGTAACATCAAACCATGGAGCCCCTGCGCCGTGGAGTCCTGCTACGTGAAAGCACTTTTTAATGGGGATGTAATGGACCTCGTTAGTGTCTGCTGTTTTAGCGTTGAAAATCACTTACTAGTGGGAATGCATTCACTCTTCATGCTGATCGTTCATATGCTTTGCTAGGAGGGTCCAAACCCACTTATCTTGGAGCCAGGGAGGATCTTCCACCTCTCTGGATCACACGGCTGCAGAAAGAAAAAGCCTACAGCACTGTCTGGGAACACCTGAGGTGTTCTCATCCTCTTGGCCCAGGGGGAGAAGCAGAGAGTTTGCTGCTCTGGCTGCCTGTCATGATTCCATGCATGTCCCCTCTCCCCAGAGCAGGGGCACAAACTCTGGGGTTAAAAACCCAGAGCAAGGAGAGGTGAAATGCTGGGTTAAGGAAGGAGGTTTTGCAGGAGGTCTGTCTGGCAGAAACCTGCAGGAATGGGTGCTTTCTTCTGGTTCTGAGCTAAAGTGGATTGAAATGCCAGTATTTGGAGTAGTAGAATAGAAGGTTTGGAGTGTTATTTTAAAAATACTCAAGTCCTTTGTGATGACCACGATGTGACACTAATAGCTGTCTGCTGAGGTTGGGAGGCATCTGCCATGGCCTGGTGACAGGGGCTTGCTGGCAGGGAAATGGTCAGGTTTTCAGGTTTTCTGGTTTTCTGAAATTGCAAATGCCCAGTTTGATCTTAGGGTTGTAATTGGTGGCCTGGAGACCTGGGAATGGTTCTGCAAAGGTGTCCTACCCTCTGACCTTTCTCTTTTGGGGCCTTTTGAAAAGGATCTCCCCCAGAGGTAGCCCTGCAGTTTGGTCAGTCATGCTGTCCTTGCAAGTCCCCTGGGAGCAGGACGATGACACCCCTCCAGGGCAGCTGGGTGCTGGAGGGTGCCACTGGAAGGTTACTGCAGGAAAATTTGCCCAACCTTGAGTGTGTCATCCCTGACAGCCTTCCTGACTGGCAGGATTCATGGAGCAGGAATGACTACATAAAAAAGTCAAAGCATATGACTCAGGATAGGAAGTTTGGGCTTTTCTTGCCAAAATCCCCTTTCTCTTGCAAAGTGTTAAAGGTGCCTGAGCCTTAATATTCTGCCATCTACGTGTAAAGCTTGGGCTTGAATCTGCTCACCTTGCCAGGGAACAGTGTGGCCGGCACTGGCTGGCAGTGAGCAAGCTGGTCCTAAGGTGCCAGGGAAGGAGGAAAAGACTCCCTTTGGAAGTGTTCTCCTTGTCTGAGTTGACCATGAGGGGGGCACAGCCCCTGGATGCAGAGAAATGAGATGTGACCAAGAGCTGCAGCCACTGATGGTCCTCATACAAACACAACTCAGGAGAAAAACACTCCAAGTTTGGCCACACACACCTGACACCACTGATGGTCCTCATACAAACACAACTCACTCAGGAGAAAAACACTTCAAGTTTTGCCACACACACCTGAGGGTGTTGGTACCTCCTTAAATGCCAGGCAGTTCAGAAACTGTTATCATAAAGGTGTTTGTTTAAAGTACATTAGCTAAAAGGTGAAACGTATGGGTAGGTCCATGTAAACCATCAGCCACCCCACCGGCTTGAGAGCATCCTGCCCTGGGCTTTAGGAGGACCATGGGGGAAGTGCATTGGGCTGAAGGGGAATGGCTCAGACCCTCAGACCACAACATGGTGCTCGCGTGAATAGAGACAAAATTAGGCAAGTGGAACCCGAGAAAGGGGCTGAGCTACCACCCAAACAGGACGGTGGTGCTAAGGGGTCACCTTGGCCGCGTTGTGCTTCCCCCCATGCACACCCCTCGCTCCGGGCCACTGAATCAAAGCTGTTCCCAAAGGGAGGGTCAGGACCCCAGGTGAGGTCACCAGCCTGGCAGAAACAAAACTGGGGATATTACAGGGCCAGGGGAGACCCAGAGGTGCTCAAAGAGGTTAACGGCCACCATCAAAGCGTCCTTAAACCTTCAGGCCAGAGTCAAAGCAGCCAGGCATCTGTATAAATATGCAAGCCACGCTTCAGTCAGGGGGAAATAAGTAAGCTGTTGTACACGGAGCAAAGGAGGTGGGGAGCTCCTGCCCAAATCACTGCTCGGTGGCTGCCGGTCCTGGCAGAGGAGTTTTCCCGGAGGTTGCTTCCTCGGAGCCTGCCAGGCTGGCACAGGGCTGGGAGGGTACTCGGTGTGGCCAGGGCAGGCATGGGGACACATCTGGGGTGAAGGATGAGGTGGAGAGGCAGGCTTGGGGGTGACGGTTAGGTGCGTTCGTTGAATTTGGGGAAAGCAGAACTGGATTGCTTCCCGGTCAATTGTGCCACAGAAATGCGGTAACTTCTTGGCTGCTTCTCAGCAAGTCCCTGGAGCCGAGGAGCCAAATATCCCAGCGCCGTAAATGCTGGGCAGAGCAGAAGATGGGTCTGGCAGAGGTGAGGACACCGAGGGAGGAGTGGGGTGTGTGGAGGTTGCTGGACACAGCCGGTGTGTTTGCACCATCTGGAGATGGTTCACACTCAGCTTCCCTTCACGTGAAGGACGGGTGTGTGAGAGCTGAGCAGACAAGGCGATTTGTCCCTGGTGGCTGATGCAGAAAGGTTGCATGGACTTCTCTTTCTCTCCCCCTCGGCCCATGCATTTATTTTCTAACACTTAAAACTCTGCTGAGGTTTGTCCCGGCTGGCCACCGAGCAAGCGTGGAGGTTGAGACTCGCCCAGCTCCCTCCTGCCTGGCAGCTCTGGAGCCAGTTTGGCTCTCGGCCACCGCGGGCTCCTTCCCGCTCACGTGGCAGGCAGAGCAGTGTCCCAAAGGGACCCAGTGGCAGGGACACTGCACCCCTGGCTGGGGATGGGACAGGGACCCCGCCGGGCTGCACGTCCCCAGCTGCAGCCACCTTCCTCAGGCAGCGATGGGTTGTGGTCCCCACACAAGGACCTGCTCCTAGAGAGGGCAAAGGTGCCCAAACCTTGGTGTCCCACCAGGGAACGTGGCCCAAACATGTGGCTGTTGTGCAGCCCCAGAGCCGTGCTTGCGAGGAGCGGGGTGACCCCCCATCAAACAGGGGACTGGAGTACAGGACACGGCTTGTGTCACAGCAACTCAGGTATCAGAGCATCCCCCCGGGACATTCAGCCAGGCCAGCAGCTGGTTCTTCTGGAGATAGATATAAACTTCCTTCTGGAATTTTACCAGCCAAATTCTTAATTGTATTTGGGACATGGCACACCTTGGTGATCCCCGAGGCTGCAGGGACACAAGGGTTCTCTCTGAGCCAAGGGGCTGGGTATGGAGGGACGCAGGGAGCTGGGATGGTCTCGGTGGAGCATCCCCGAGAGCCTGAGCCTCCCCCTGCGGATCCGCCAGCCCCTTGATGCTGTTGCCCCCCCCCAAACAGAGCGCTGAGCTCCTGTTTGTCTCTCACCCTCCTCTTTCCTTCTAACAGCTCCGCCGTGAAATCGGCTTTTTCACCCTTCTGCCACGCACCAGCAGCCGGGAGTGATGCCTTCAGCGCCCCGTCACGCTGCCGGGATCTCGGGTGGAGGGTTCACATCACACAGATGTCCCACCGGGGCTACACAGGCCACACCGGGGCTTCCAGATGGACCTTTTTTTTTGGGGGGGGGGGAGCAGCGGGACAGAGAAAAGCCCAGGAGAGGCTTGTGATGAATAAAAAGCCACCGAACGATGAAGGGCCGGTGTGACTGAGGTGGCGGCGAGCGACAGCAGCGGCGCAGGCTGCCTTGGAAATGTGTCTCATCAAATACGGAAACCTCCCCGCACACGGAGGTCGGTGGGGTTTCTCGGGGTGAAGGGAGCCCCGGTGCCCCCGAGCCGGCCGCTGCCCCCCGGCCGAACGCGGACACTCCCA